CTAACGATGACGAAAATGGTTCTCGGATTGTAATTCACTGCTCAAAAAGCCACGAAGAACTGTATTACACGATGATTAAATATTTCAAGATCAATTATCGTTGTGCATGTCTGAATGTGTCTTAATATTAGCTTCAACATTTTTTGTAATATTGATATTGGAGCAGGTATTTAGATGGCAATGTTTAGGTATATTTACCCTGTATATTGCCGGTTCCGTAATAAAATCTAATCTAAGCAATGTTATAGGCAAAATACAAGGTGTCCCAAAAATGTCTCGTAATCCGGAAACGGGAGGTTCCCGTGGTCATTCGAAGCAACTTTTTCCTTTACAAAAATTTTCTCCGAGGCATCGTTAACGAGTTATTAACGAAAAACACTGACCAATGAGAGGCGCGCTCGCGAGGCGAGCCAACGAGCGGTCGAAACTCGGTTCCGCTGATTGGCGCGGCCGACCCGCGCCAGCCGAGCTCGTCTCTCATTGGGCACCGTCTTTCGTTAATAACTCGTGAACGAAGCCGCGGATTACATTTTCGCTAAGGAAAAAGTTACTTCGAATGACCCGAGAAATCTCCCATTTCCGGATTGCGAGACATTTTTGGGACACCCTGTATATTAATTTTAAGATCAGCGCGATATTATTGACAGTGAATGCTCGCCGCGTTCTCAGATAGCTCGGTGAAAAAATTCTTGCAATACCTTGGAATGCGGTGTTTGCGGGTGTATGTATATACATGTATATACATATATATGTATATACATATATACACATATATACATTATAATCATGCACCGCAGGCCATCGCGAAAAGAGGCGGCCTGTTCGGCCGACGATGCGTTAATTACGCAAATACCGCGAACTCATTAGTGGCCTCTAGGATTGCGGGGGCGCGAACAAATAAATAAATAAATTCCCTTCGTGCCGGGGCGTGTGTTAATGGAGTTTTCGTGGGAGAGAGGGGGTTCTAGCGTAAACGCGGGAATAGCCCACGGATGTCCCGCAGCCGCGTTTCTCCATTTATTGCGTATAATCGACAATCGGGCACCGGGACGTTGCATAACCGCGGTTTTCATTCCAGTATTTTCGCCGAGAAATGCCGTCGAAATTATTAGCGGCGCGTATTCGTCTCGTTAATCGGATAAATCTTATTATTTATCCGAAATCTAATTGCGAACTCGATTTATGGAGATGGAATTCGGTTTGCGGCGAAAGCGACCGCTCGCGCATCAATATTAATTGCGAAAATCTTTCTGAAAATGCTGGCTAATTCTTCCTCACGAATATACAATCTGGAGCCTGCGATTTCGCTCGTGGTCGAGCCACGAAAGACGCGCAGTTTGTTCGTTCATTTTATTTTTAATAGCCGAACGGCGGATCTGTTGAATAAAAATATAACCGAGTATGCTTATGATCGTTTCTCATTCCATTTAGAACTTTTTGTCAACGTAATTTTTAAGCTACTCCTTCTAAACGCTTCAATGTTTCTCAATGGACAAAGTTATCAGAAACTAGACAGTGAAATAAAACCATTTGGGTTCAGAGTTCAAATGGACTGGATTTTGCACTCGGAACTGTCTAAAGTCCGATACGAAGACATTCCTTTCGACCGGCAATAATTTATACGATTCTCCTCATTTAATGCATATGAAATCGAGCCCGTTTACTCGGAAAACTGATCCATTCTTCCAACGATTAATGAAATACAAACAAAACAACAATGTAAAAATTTCTCAGAGTCGCCGTTCGAGAGAGTATAAACAATTAAAAGACTGCATCGGATGGATGCAATTCTTGGATGATGAAACAAGGGAATTCGAATAAAATGAAAACTGTATTCGTAGAATGAGTAAGAACAAACACTTACTTCGAATTTGTACAATTCAAAGACGAAATGTTCACTGTGTTTTCATACAGTCGCTTCAGTCGGATGATTTTATCTGCGGATTCGTGCAATGGCTCCAAACATAAAACCCCAAGAAAGTATTCAAAAATGAGACAATTGCCTTCAATTCCCGCTGGCACGCCGATACAATATTCGCTTGAAATTCGCGCGACTAATTGAAAGATAAAATACCTCCAGCGACCTCGTGCAACAGTCTCGAACACGAAATGAAAATCGAGACACGTGGGAGAGATCTCGCGAGTCGAGAAGAACATCAATCACTTAGGTTGAACATTTACCAGGATAAATGTAGGAATTTTTCGCACTCGCGGGACGTTTTCACGGGGTTCGCGCCGATTCTCCATCCAGGTTGCGCCGATGCCACGTTGCAGGGAGCTTGCAAGTATAATAAATTGAAGGAAGGATGCGCGGGAGGCGCGTGCGTCGAGCTCTTTATCTCGTGCACAGTACATTTACCTTCTCGCGGCCGGTTCGGCGCTTTCGCGACTGTACGCCGTGTATAGTCGTTCGACGCGATTTCCTCGACTTTTTTCCGAGCGCCGGGCCGTTGCGTCAGGTGCATCGAACGCCTACGCTTTGCCTCCCACGCTTGCCACCCCCTATCTCTCTCTCTCTCTCTCTCTCTCTCTCTCTCCCTTTCTCCCTTTCTCCCCCTCTCTATCGTGGTTCGACGTTCGCCAACGTAACGCGACAAACGGCCGCGATACTGCTCCGCCATTCTGCCGGCCCTCCTTCAAACGCGGATGTTCTCTGCGTCCTTTGTGCAAGCCCATCGGACCAGACTGCCTGAGAGCTGCTTCGACTTTGCGACCGCGGCGAGACAAAAGCCGCGCAGCGCCGCGCCGCGTCGCGTCGCGTCGCATCGCGTCGCGACGCCCCACACTCCGGTGCGCCCGCCGACCGTTTTAAATATCGCGGTCGAGGACAGGGACGATCGACGACCCTTCTCCCGGCCTATCGAATCCATTCTCTCGCGTCCCATTGCTACCAGAAATTATTGATACTCCCGTTCCGCGCGGAAAACCATGGTAGGTTAACAATAGAATATATAGTAAATGAGGAAAATGGATTCGTGCTTCGTCGTGGAGGCAAAATGCGGTGCAGATAAGACTATATTACAGATTTGATACTTTTATGACGTAAACAAATTAGAGCGGGCCATTGATCGAATTGTTTCGAGTGAACATTCATTTGAGGTAATTATCAGAATGTATGGTTTCCAATTGAATATGTTATTCGAGTAAAAATTATTCATTATTCGTCATGGATTATTCTATTTATTCGAATGATTCTTTATTCTATCTATTTATTCAAATAATTCTTTATTCTGTCGATTTATTCGAAAAATTCTTTATTCTATCGATTTATTCAAATAATTCTTTATTCTCTCGATTTAGTCAAAAAGTTCTTAATTTTATTTATTTATTCGAATAACAATCGAGTAACAATCTTTCCGTTGCAACATTTGAAAAGAAGCTAATTGTAAAAAGGAATATCGAATCGCAAATAAGTAGATCGGAACGCAAAATAAAAATTATCTGCTGGAAACTGGAGACACTTGGGATTTACAATGTTCTCAAAAAGTCGAAAGTAATGTGTATCGATATTTCTCCATTTCTTTCGTGTTTTTACCGTTTTGTATTGCAGCTGTATATTTTTCCCATAAGTGAATGAAATCCGCAAGCTACTAGGAAGCCAGCGTGTTCAACGGTTTCACTATGAAGTTGAAAAAGTGCACGCTTTGTGAATTATTTCCGAGGCACAGAAACTCCGTAGAAACTTCGCCGTTAGGTGTTTCAAACGTGCGCACATTGAACCGCATTCGAGAATTTTTTCCCCCCGAAGATATCCATACTTACACCATTACGTAATTTGTGAAGTGCTGCCTAACGAATCTACGATCAGGCTAAAATAGTTGAAATATCATTCGAGCCCTCATCAGTAATAATCTCCTGTGGTTAGCGAAAAAGCCGGTGTATGATGGCGGGATTCCAGAAATATCAGGATTTAGTCGGAAACTCATCGCGATTACCGTTCCGAAATGAGAATATTCCATCTTGGCCGACTCCCGACGCGACGTACAGTATATCGCGTGTGATTATGTATTAAGGCACGTGCTTCCGGCCGTCCCGAGCAGGAAGGTTTCAAATCCACTTTACCGTAATGCGACCACGCGATGCTCTATTTGTTTTGGCCTGGGACTAAATGTATTTCCACTGGTTGAATAGAAATAGTCCTTATCCAATTCGCTCGATCTTCAACGGACCGCATTCTACTTGGCGTGGCCGAGCGCGGACTTTAATCTACTCTTCCGGCCGCAGAGGCTCTTAATCTTCTTACAGGGTGCCATCCTGCGAAAATTCTACTTGTCTGACCGACCGGGTGTTCTATATCCAGCTTGTCCGACCGCGGATGGACTTCTTTCACTTATCCGACCAAAGGAAACTTGACGCTGTCGGATCTGCGAGATATCGTTTCGCTTGTCTGACCGACGATCTAATCTACTTCGAGGAGTTATGGGACTGTACACGACCACGACATGCTGCGTCCTCGACTGTCCCCAAAATTGCATCTGGGAAATTCAGTTTGTGTCTCCTAAAATCTTATTGCATGGATGCAATTGGGAATAAATAATACGATAACTCTATTGTTAAACTCGGTTTCTTTTTAATATTTTCACTGTCCCCTCTTACTCTCTTTAAGTCAGCTTTGATTAAATTTCATTCTCAATGACTTCATACGTGTTGTAATCTCTCGCTTTCGTACGCATTCACATCGTTATGCAACCGGATACCCGAATCATTATCAGCAGCTTCGACTGTTATTAATTGCTTTAGGTATTTCTAGAAAGTAGTACAACTTTCTTTGCACTGTTTGTAAGAACTATTATTTTCATCCTCGTTAACTCTGCTGTCTTTTAAACCTTATTCGTAAACAGTTCTGCTTTAATGACTCATTTCTTTTTCATGCACATACATACGGTGACACAATAAATTAATTTTAAGGTATCAGAGAGTGGTACAATCTGATTTATCCGTAATTAAACTTAATTGCTATATTTCTTCGGATTTTTGAAAACGATATGATTGTTCCTTACCTGTGTGCTATTCGGGCAGCCTTAAAATTCGTATCTGTAACAAAAAGAATAATAGAATATGTAAATAACGAAATTTAAGACGTGAAAGATTCAAGATCCATTTCAATATGATGAAAATATGATTATAAGTATATAAGGTATTTAAAGAATCTTGGAAATTACATTGCTTCTCTCGGAAATGCCAAATTTCAGGTTGCTGTGAATTTCCCTGTGCTGGTTCTACGCCTATGCAATTTATTACTACGTGGATGCTAAGATTCGACCAATCTTCGTCGAATCGTGGCTTGTGGCCTCCGAATTGCCTTCGAATCGTATCATATGGCCTCCGAATTGCCTTCGAATCGTGACAAAAAAATAGAAATAAAAAAGTTAAGTCATCGTTTTTATTCTAGCATTTCTATGTAGTTATATTAACGTACACCGGCATACTGCCAACTGCTCTGAATTTCTACAAAAAACGAACCGCGAGACCGGAAGAATCGTGTCCGAGTGTCTGGCGATTACCGTTTTTAATCCCAAGCTCCGAGCCTTCCAGGGAGAAATTACTGTACTTCCACCTTAGATTTATTACTTTGGATGATATTTAATCATATTTACAGACTTGAAAATGTCTGTCAAACAAAATGAGGATTCACATTCGATTTATAGAAATCTTTATTTGTTCTTCATTTTTGATGCTTCTTTCCTTACATTGTCTGTACCGATGTTCATCCCTATGTACAACCAATATACAGTAATGTTTCTCTAATTAACGCTCAGATTGTCCACAAAAATGGTCAATTTTGAAAGAGGAGATACGATTGTTCGAGCCTTGTGGTTCGTTTTTGATACTTATCGATTATCAACAACTATAAAAACGCGCTGCAAGGCTCGAATAATCGAATCTCCTCTTCCAAAATTGTCCATTTTTGGGCGCAATCTCAGTGCGAATTAGGGAAAAATTACGGTACAATCTGAGCGTCAATTAGGAAGACATTACTGTACACACGTTGAGACGAATGTATCAGCTTCGACAATGAAACAACGCATCCCGCGTTGTAATTATCTAAAGATCCGAGATTCAGTTACTTGCTTTTTGTGGACAATCTGAGCGTCAATTAGAGAGACATTACTGTACGTGGATACCCTTTAAAGGGATACAATTAGGGAGACATTACTGTACATCATTTTAAGAATATACCTCAAACAAAACAAACATTCAGAAGTCTTCACGTAGAATAAAAATGTACTCTCCACTCTGTACTCGTTTTTCCGTGTCCATTTCAAGAACGTCCATTAGCAAACTAATTTTAATCCAGAACAGAAATTCTCCTCTTCGAATCTGTTTCACCGCAGCCCTCTCACGTCAATTACCAAAATTTCGACATCATCCTTCACAATAATCTAAAAAATAGATTGGCACAGCGTACAGGGAAGGGATTTCTCTTAGCAAGGACAAGCGACCTCGGTTCGAGGTAAGGTGAACGTGCTCATTTTCGAGACCGTTGATGGTTATTCGGCCGGCGACCCGATCCCGGCGGTGGAAAACGGGTCGTGGAGCTCGGCCCAGAGGAAAGTTGCGTCCAGAAGGCGGGTTTGAGAGGTGGGAGGGTGGAGGGGATGAAATCACGGTCGAGCGGGCATAGGTACGAAGAGAGGGCGTCGCGGATCCGAAACGAGCGCCGGTCCGCAGACTTCGCGGCCAGAAGCCAAAAGCTCGGAAACTCCGTGAGTTACGGCGGCCGCTTATTGGCCCGAAACTGTGTCGGCGCTCCAATTTTTTCCAGCTCCCACCACCGCGCCCCACACCACCCCTCGGTTGCCCATTTTTATCGGCCGCGATATATCTTCCGGCTAGGCGAGATTCGGCGTTTTATAGCAATCTGCAGGCTGTTGTCCGTTCGAGCGTCGTTTCCGTCCTACACCGCCGTCGCAATTGACTCGCCCCCACACACCCCCTAGCGGGTAAATATTAGGTTGCCGGAACCCTGGGACACGTTTCCTGTAAATTCCATTTTTTCTTTCAACCTCTGTGCTAACCTCTGCGCCGGATTCTTGTAACTGGATTTCAAAGTCTTCGGCTTTGCCTGGATTTCAGAATTCTTGAGAGAACTTTTTGCAGCTCGAAAGTACACCCGACGGCAAAATTGAAGGATCAGTCGTTCTTTTGACCGAGAGATTGTCAATCTATGAACAGCTGTAACTCCGTTAAGTGCGCTGTAACTTGGCGAGAGAAGGTCGTAGAGACTTAAGGCTTCCCTCGAATTAAAGGGGGACGTGTAACTTTACGATGCTGGGAACTGCACGCTTTAAAACAATTTTTACAGCTCCACGAGGGTGTTAGACTTTACAGTTTTTCCGTATCACGAACTATTCCCTCGGATTTAGAAGAATACAGTAGTGGGATGTGCATGGATAGTGCATGATACTAAAAATTAGCGTATGGTATCATATACTAGACACTTCAATTTTTAATTTTCGAAAATCATGACACTATGATAGCTTTTAACCGAGTTACAGCTGTTCGAAAATTAATAATTCCTCGGTGAAAAATTGCTGATCTTGTTTATTGATAGTGATGTTGTTCGGTCAGGGTAAAAATCTGTTGACGGTTTTGTTCATCTTTTGGCTGTGTGACATCCTTGATACAAGCGTAAGAAGCTGACTGTATTCAAAAATAAAAATCTAAGAAAAATCATCCGAAAACTGGTGCTCGTTTGTCTCAAGATTGCATAGAAGTTACTGAAATCTGTAAGATGCGTTTTGAAAATTTTCTTTATAGGCTCAGATAAAAAGATTGGAAAACAAGAGTTCTATGCTTTCTTGACATTCCAAGTAATGGCAAGATTAAGGAAAACAGGCTTGTGTCCCTCTATCATCTAATGCAAATCGTTTAGTTCAGTTTGTAAAAAGTTATATCGATTTTCTAAGTGGTTTTAACTATATGGCCGTCATTGTACGTGATCAGCTAGATATCAGTCGACAATCTCAGTAAAACAGTTCTGGTAAAGTCAGAGTACAAACACGAATAGAACGCTGGTAAGAAGGTATATCGATGCTATAGTAACCAATACTGTGTGAATCAGGACAGATTTTGACAAACAGCAGCTCGATGTGTGGCATGTTTACGTATTCACGTGAACTTTGATACTTCTTATGAAAGGCGATCAGCACATTGTTGCCTCGAGAGGAATTACTGGCACAGTAAATTCTCTCTAGAATGCCAAATTTCGGTCTGCTGCGAATTTCCCTGTGCCAGTTCTAAGCCTATGTGATTTATTGCTCGTCGATGCTAAGGTTCGACGGAGTCGGTCAAGCGTGTGATGCGGCACGCGACGCAGCTCCTTTGACTCGAATTCCCGGAAAACAACACTTGTGTATGAATCAGATAAGAAAAACCACGGAGCTACAAGGTACGTGGTAGCTACAGTAAATTCTCCCGAATTGACCCTCAGTTTGTACACATGAATGGACAATTTGGGAAGAGGAGATACGATTTTATAGTCACCGATTGTCGACAAGTATAAAAATGAGCCGCGAGGCTCGAATAATCGTACCTTCTCTTCCCAAATTGTCCATTTTTATGTTTCCAAGCTAAGGGTTAATTAGGAAGAATTTATTGTACTAGCTACGTGATCGTTGAATCGTGGCATGTGGCGTCTGAATTGCCTTCGAATTGTGACAAAAAATTGGAAATAAAAAAATTAAGTCGTTGTTTTTATTCTAGCATTACTATGTATTCATGTTAATGTACACCGGTTGCTGGCCGCTGCCTTTTTCTGCCGACTGCCACGAGTTTCGTCCTCTCTCCCTTTCTCTCTCTCTCTCTCTCTCTCTCTCTCTCTCTTTCGCTCACGAGATGTCGGCAACTATAAAAACAAGCCGCGAGACTCGAAGAATCGTGTCTGAGCACCCACCGAATATCGCGTTTTCAATTCCGAGCTCCGGGCCTTCCAGAGAGAATTTACTATAGAAGATGATCCATTCAATCGGTAAACATTGTACTCATTAGACGCAAATTTCGGATATACAATAATGTCTCCCTTACTGACGCTCAGATTGTCCATTAAAATGGATAATTTGGGAAGAGAAGATACGATCGTTCGAGCCTTGCGGCTCGTTTTTATAATTGTGGACAATTTATAAGTATAAAAATAAACCGCAAAGCTCGAATAATCATATCTCCTCTTCCCAAATTGTCCACTTTTGTGGTCAATCTGGGCGTCAATTAGAGAGACATTACTGTAATCGCGTTTCTACATAAATAATTACAGCATAAAGTCGTGGAGAGCATGCCAATTCTCGCTTTAGATGATTCAACTTGGTACGGAAGACGCCTGACATTCAGAAAGTAGACGAACGAATGGATGACGCGATTTTTTAATTTTGACAAAATTAAAGCAATAATCCGATATTACCCAATTTCGAAAAATCCATCAACAATCCCGTTTAGGAATATGCGGTTACCTGATATTTCACGTTTCGTTTCGGTCGAGTATTTCCTCGGATTCTCGTCGAGACCCGGCCCGAGCCCGGCCCGTGGCTCATGCCCAACAGCCAAAAAGACCGCACGCGCTATAAAGAATATTGAGTTTGCGTATCAGAATCGTGGCAGAATGTTTCCCGATTGTTCGGCGCCGGTGCGCTCCGAAGGAATGCAGCTCGCAACGATGCATTTTCCGCATCGCGTTCCTGCAGTCGCGCTAGTTCCTAATAATTAAACCGCGATCGTTTCACGTTGTTCATGTTGGCTCTTGCAGAGCGTATCTCTTTCCCCGTGTTCCGTGGCTCGCCTCGGCCCGGACCGAGACCACAATCATGCAAATGTTCATTGCACGTAATCGCCGATTCCGGGGCACGGATAACGCCGCGCGATACTGTTTGATACTCCGTTTGAATTACTCCGGTCAAAGTACATCTCGATCGAGCCGCTCCGAGCGTTATGGAGTGGTGTTCTGGTCCGCGTGCTTCGTTACGTCGGCCAGTTTTCTCAGATTCGCGAGTTGAACAGACACGTTTGATTGAAAGCCATGCTCCAATGAATTACTGTACCCC